AAAAATCAGATAAAAGCAACAACAAAGCTCACGCTTAAGATCAAATTAGTGATGTATAGCAATACTTGCTTAGCTTTTAATGTTTCCCCGACCTCTCTTGTTCGAATGACTATGGTGTCCCTTGCAAACTTGCACAAGCGACCCGAAGCTCTAGCCCGTTACTATGTAACGTCACACTGGCAGTGATGAATCTGTCACAGACAAGCACATGAAAACAATAGAGATGGCCTTTCCCTCCTGACTAAAAGTCAAACATCAAAATTTCACTATTTTGCTTCGTGGAAAATCTGAAAACTGGCAAATATAAAGTTTTCTATATTAAGCATTGGTTCAAATATCAATAATTCTGTTTCAGGTATTAGGTAAAATATAGATTGAATTTGGCTATATCAAAAAAGTCAAATATTAAAATTTTTACATTTAGCATCGTGCGAAATCTTGAAATAGTAAATATCAAAGTTCCTATATGCCAAATACAAAGAATTCTGTATTGGGCATAAAGTAAAATAAGGAATTCTTTTCATATTTTGCGTCGTGCAAAATCTGAAAATTTACAAATATAAAGGTTCCCGTATATTATAATGAATTTGTCTTTATCATGAACATCAAGTACCAGAATGTCTGTATTTTGCATGGTACAAAATCCAGAAATTGACAAATATCAAGGTTTCTGTATTAGGCGTCAGGTAAATATGGGATTTGTCGTAATTTATAATTAAAATATCTGCAAAATTTCTATATTTTGATTGCAACATACAAAATCTGGAAGTTAAATAATAGAAAATTAAAAGTTTCTATACATGGTCCTTATTACGAACGTCAAATATCAAAATGTCTACATTTTCCGTCCTGCAAAATTTGGAAATGGGCAAATATTTAAGGTTTCTATGTTGCACATCAGGAAAAATTTGGAATGTGTCTTGATAATAGAAGAAAATATAAGAAATTATCTATTTTGGGTCGTGAAAAATCAAGAAATTTGTAAATAGTAAAGTTTCTAAATTGTGCAGAAGGAAATTATGGAAATTTGTTTATTACGAACGAAAAATATGAATATTTCTCCATTTTACACCATACAAAATCTACAAATTGATGAACGTCAACTATCAAAATTTCTATATTTTGGGTTTTGCAAAATCTGGAAATTGGCAACTATCAAAATTTCTATATGGTGCATTCTGTATGGATTTTGCCTTTATTTTTAAAGTCAAATCTCAAATTTCTATATTTTGATTTCGCCAAATCTGGAAAATTGCAAATATTAAATTTGATATATATTTGTTATATATACTGTGCATTAAGTAAAAGATGGAATGTGTCCTTATTATGAACGTGAAGTATCGAAATATCTATATTTTATGTCGTGCAAAATCTGGAAATTGGAAAAATCAAAGTTTCTAGTTAGTGCATTTGGTAAAAAATAGATTTTGCCTCGTGCAAACTCTGGAAATAGGCAAACATCAAAATTTCTATAAAGTGCATGCGGTAAAAAAAAGATTTTGTCTTTATTATAAAAGTCAAATGTCTATATTTTGCGTTGTCTAAAATCTGGAAATTGACAAATATTAAAATTTCTTTAGTGCATTATGTAAAATACAAATTTTGTCTATTATAAAAGTCAAATACCAAAATTTCTACATTTTGCACAGTGTAAAATCTAGAAAATTAGCAATTATCAAGGTTTGGGCTTTCCACAAGTTGCACGGCAACTTTTTCCAAATCCTAGCAATTTCTAGTTTTCTATCAATTCTGAGATATCGGAGCAGCTTATAGTGCTTAAATTGGCCTTGCTTTCATATTTCACAATGTATTAGCAGACAATTTATTAATTTCCTGTGAAAATGGAGCCAATTCCTCCCCCGGGGCAGCCGAGCTGCAAGGTCTGTGACACACACTCGACTGATTAGAGTGTCTCAGGTAAAGAAGGTTATTCAGGTCCTTATAGGGTAGCCGCAGAAGCAGGAACAAGACAGTACTTGAAAAAAAGCGGCAATTTCAGGAGAACGCAGAGAACATTTTTTTGTAAATTGAGGACGAAATTTATCAAAAGTTTTTTTGAGCAACTTTCGACTTTTTTGAGCATCTTTTGAGCAACTTTTTTGAGCAATTACGAGAAACTTTTTGGGAAATCTCTTGAAACTTGTGGAAAGCCCTAATTAAGGTTTCTATATTGTGCATTAGGTAAAATATGGATTTTTTTGTATGACCTGGGTGAAATATCAAAATTGCTATAATTTGCGTCTTGAACATTCTGCAAACTGGAAATATCTAGGTTTCTATATTAGGGACTTATTAAACGGTAAATATAGAATTCGTCTTTATTGTAAAAGTGAAATGTCCAAATTTCTATATTTTCCGCCGTGCAAAATCTGGAAATTGGAAAAAAAAGAAGTTTCTATTTAGTGCATTTGGTAAAAAATGGATTTTGTTTTTGATATAAAATTTCTTTATTTTGTGTTTTGCAAAATCTGGAAATTGGCAAATGTCAAAGTTTCTATATTGGGTAAAATATGGATTTTTTCTTTATTATAAAAGTCACTTATCAAAATTTCTTTATTTTGAGTCGTATAGATTCTGGAAATTGGCAAACAAGCTATTTGGCTTCGTGCCAAACATGGAAATTGTTCAACTGAATCGCTGTCTATTGGCTATGGTTTGAAAGATCTCTTCCTCCGGTCAAGTTAGGTCAAACTTGTCTAAAATTGTTAAAACTGATGACTTCACAGGTGACACAAGGGAGGAGGATCCGCAAGGCTGGTTACGGGCGGTTAGGGTTAGGGTTAGATTAGCCGAGCTAATATCATAACTGGTACCTTTAAAAACCTTAGCAGCAAATTATTGTTTTTAGTAATCTTGGCAGCTTATCTTTCAATGTCTTGCTGCGGGTGTGCCACAAAGGGGAACGGTATCCAGAGCGCGGCTATACTCTCTCTTTTTCCAATGTGTCTACAGAAACAAAAATTCCTGATACGCCTCGTGGTTCTATGCCCGCGCTAGGTTTCTTACAAATCATATTAACATGACATTTACAGCTATTTTTTTCATCTATCAATACCCCTAGCCTACGATCATGCCTTCCCTCACGGGACCAAAAAATGGATTTGCACAAATTTGCTCCTTGCAAATATGTCGCAAAGATATATTAAACGCTGTGGAGTAAACATATGACAAACATAGTAAATGCCACATTTGCTTAGTTATTTACTCCTCCTGTTGTTTGGTATGTTAATGTGGCATTTACCATCTCTGCCATATATTTACTCCTCATTATTTACATATTTGCGACATATTTGCGAAGAGAAAATTTGTGCAAATCCATTTTTTGCGTCCAATGCCTATTTCTCTTGATTATGACTTTCCTGGAAAAGAGGGCATGATACATCTAGTTGCATCAACTATATATTAACTCTTGGACTTTGGGGAATTTTTTAACAAGGGATACCATTCAAGCAAATCTGTTCGGCGACCACACCATATTACGTGGAAAAAGTATTGCTGTGGAACGTAGTTGCAAATTCAGACACAGCAGTCTTCAATTGGCTCGTGGACCAACCAATCGTTCGCTCATGTTTCTTCGATCACGTGGGAAGAGAATGTAAATCAATCAATCAATCAATGTGGCTGGTTCATGGCCTATTTTCTTTGGCCAAATTAACAAAAATAACAGAAGGCAAAGACGCTAACTTCGTTAGCTGCTCCGAAAAGGTGCAGAGAAAAATGGCCATTTTGGCCGAGCTAGACAGTCAGGACGATGAAATCAAAGTTCGTATTGGAAAAGTGTAAATAAACTTTTAAAGCAGTTGTAATGCAAATTGATAGAAGTTCAAGAGACAAAATAACTAAATTTTTAATCAAAAAACGATTTGAAAAAAGACTTAAATTTTAAATGAATATTAAAGAGCAAATAAAAAGATTAAATCACGCTGTTTCGGGGTAAAGTGAAAAGAAACAAAATATAAGAAGTTTGATAAAATGTTGAATTTAATCAGTTTTAAAGTCAAATTTTAAATAAATTTTGTTTCCAAAGCCGGAGTTAAAACTGAATAAATAAAGTTTAAATCATTCAAACAGGGTTTTAATTTGCTCAATATGGACAGGCATGAACGGCTATCCATAAAATCCTTACACACTTTCCCATAATAAAAAGCCCTGACTGTTGAAGACATAAGCTCAGATGAAAAAAAGGAGCTGCTTACAAATTAAATACTAAAACAATTTAATGTTGCAAGTTTTTTTTTTCTAACTTAAAGAACTGATCGGCCGCTTCGTTTACGTTTTTGGAGGGCACTCGATGCCATAGCGACTAAAATATAAATTATTTATTTTCCCAAACTTGAGCCATCTGCTAAGACGATAGACCGCGTAAGTTCTTCCCACCTTTATATGGCTTAGATCAAATGTGATACAATCCCTGAGGTGTTATAGATACATTCTTTTAGCGTTTTGTCTACGCAGTATCATAGTCGAATGTTCGTAGCTGAAACTAGATGACTCTGCAAAACATCATGGACTCCACAGAGAAGCAACTGGAAGACATGTTAAATGAACTAAAGTCAAGAAGCGTAGTTGCAGTCATCCTGGAATCAAGTTTTTTAATATTTCTTTTGTCGTTCTTGATGGTTGGCAACTCAACAACCCTCCTTGTTATGTTGCTAAACCATCGGATAAGGACAATTCCAAATATGTTCGTGGCATCACTCGCCGTTACCGACTTATGTTTGGGAGGTTTCGTGTCGGTTCCTTTGGGACCTGTTGTATTAGTGACATCTCAGTGGCCGTTCAGCGATTCAACGTGCCAGTTCCAAGGGTACATAGTCATAGCCTTAGCTGTTGCATCAGTTCACACATTGGCCTTGATGGCGGTTAACAGATATTTTGGAATCGTCAATCCATCAAAATACCGCCGTTACTTCACCAAGAAGAAAACCATGATCATGATCCTCTTGTCGTGGTTCTATTCCATGTGTTGTCCATTACCATATTTTTTGGGCGGACACAGAATGATTTTCCATGCTTCCAAGTTTTTCTGCTATCCTCCAATCGATAACAGTGCATTTGTGGCATATTGCCTTCTACTTTACTTAGGGATTCCAAGCACTATTATCCTTTACTGCTACCTAAGAGTCTTTCAAACAGTTCGCAGTCACAGTAACAACTTCCACCGTCCTGGGAATCCAGTCATCATGGCAAACGTAGAAGAGATTAAAGTGGCTCGCACACTGTTTGTGACAGTGATGATTTTCAGTCTGTGTTGGATCCCTATTATTTTAATCGACATTGTGGACACGATTCAAGGCAGATGGTCCTTCCCTCGCGAGGCTTACCTAACATATACTTATCTAGCTCTTATAAGCAGCGCTATTAATCCTTTGATATACGGCGTGCTTAACAAGAACTTTCGTAAAGAGTATCATAAGTTATTTTACCGCAGATGCTGCCGCTCTCACCGACAGGCAGTTGTACAACCTTTGACAGTAAGAGCAACTACGCCTCATGAACATGTAAATAGGAATTAGTATTATTACCCAAATACAACAAGATCTAATGAAAAAATTATAGTATAAAACTGAGGTAGAAAGAGATAACCCGATATATTTTGCCAGTCAGATCGATCAGCTGAACACGGAAACCCAAAACTCAGGTATAGAGGAGAGAGTCGAGAGACTTGCAAAGATGTGGCTTTATCAACTTAGTTGTAATAAGGTGGATTGGCCTCCGTCAGGGGACTGAGAAGTAGACGTGTCGCGCACTGATTAGCCCTCCGTTGTCAGAGCAAATCAGAAGATTGACGTGAATGGTGCATTTGTATGGTCTTACATGTTTGTAAAAGGTATCCAGTACGCTATCGAAGCGAGGGTCCATATCAAATATACCTTCCGTGATTTTCGCCCTTGCATCGCTGCCACCTTTTTCCATAGGGTCTGTCGAGTTTCTATTCACAGTTTAGCATCGTTAAAGAAAAAAATTAATAAAAAATTTAACTGAACTTAATAAGAACCGTTACAAATTTCGTTACACTCAGACTTAAGCGTGCAAATAATATAGGCCTAGGCCAAACCTCAAACTTTTCATGAGACGAACCAAACTTAGTGAGTTAAGTTCGTGAAAAGTTCGACGTCTGGCTCAGTCAAGTTCGTCTAAATGAGTTTGGATCTTCCAACACGGTCTATTTGTCTGCTTCAGACGGATAGAACGACGGTCTGAAGATCGTCTCCGCGACAAACGTCGAACTTCACATACGACGAACTAAACTATAGGGTGGAACCTCTCGGTCGGATACCTGTCTATTACGGACAGTTTCCAATGTCCCGACAAAATTCTCATATATTTTCATTAAAAAAACCTCAGTCTATAATAGGGACAACGGACACTAAATATTGGCCCCAAGGAGGAAATTCGTATAAACTTAACCTCTTTATTACGGACACTGCGGTGATCAGGTGATCCCGATTCCCGATCAGGTGAATCTGCATAGGGTGAATCCCGTCTAGTCTGGCTGGTGAGCTATGCAAGGTGATATAAAGCCCAGTCGCTGTATACCAAACAACGATTTGCGAAAGGTGCACAGAGGAACATAACCGACTTTTTGAAGGTCTCAATAACTACAGATAGCATAAAGATCTTTTCTATTACATTTTGTACTCTAGGTACTGTTTACTGCACTTGCAAAATAGCGAAAGACACTTTCAGAATTGTGCTTTACGTTACAACTTTTTACATGGAGCATTGCGCTGTAGCTCGTTTTGTTTTGTCTGTAGCTGAGATGTACAATGTTGTATGCTACTGAAAGACAGTGTCTTTGTACTGTGAATTAATAACTTTAAATGCAGTGTAAAGACGAGTGTGAGCCTGGTTTTAGCTACGGAACGCTTAAAATTGTAAGTGGAGTCATAAAAGTAACGTCATCATGGTGACCTCTTTTATACGGACACCACTCAGTCTCTAATACGCACACTTCGCTCTGTCCCTTCGGTGTCCGTATTACTGAGAGAGGTTCGACTGTAATAAAGTACTAGGAATACGTTATTGCAAAAACCTCGCGAAGCTAAAATGGGGGTAAGCAGTGAGAATAAAGTAAAGCGAGCCAAACAGAAAGAAATATGATTTTTTTTACAGAAATAAAACTAAATAGAAGAAAATGTTCAAAGAAGAAGAAGAGGTTATCAACGCAGAGATTCGAACTTACACTATCACTACCTCCTGCCCGAGAATACAGCTCCCAGAGACCACTTGCCCACTCTGGCACTAAAAACTAATACGGTAAAATTATTACAGTTCAAGCATTTTTCTCTGCCATACGTACTGTTTGAAGCTTGTGGAGCTGTATTTATAATGAATGCAAAGATACATTTGACGAAAATTAGCTTAAACGAGTATTTCAAAGTCATTTTGCATTATTTCGGTGTCAATTCACTCGTGGGTTTAACGGCCGATCGATGTACGGAGCTGAGCTGAAACGGGTTAGTCTTTGATTTGATCCATCGGTCACATCGAAAGGCGGGGAAAGATCCAATTCATTGTGGGTTTGACTCGGCGTAACATGAATTCAAAGGTACAGACTTCAGGGAAAAGCAAGGTAAAAATTAGAACTGACACGCACTTCCGAAAAGCAAACATATCCCGCGACCTGTCAAGCCGTCATCTTAAAATCCGGCTGCGAAGTGAGAAGCACTGACAAACGACGTGTCCTAAATTCGACATCTGACCCAACAGACAATCTTAACCTAATTTAGGTCGACCGAAATTAGAGTTTGGCTTGTCTCACTTTTTGAAGTGAAGGAAGTAACACACCTACCTCAATTTTTTCCGACACTCTGGACACTCGTGTCCATGGTAGTGTTGGATAAAAAATTCGCGTGACTCTGGAGACAAGAGTGACGTGCCGCGCTCAAACTTTTTTTCAGTTTCACCGCTTTACTTCTGTTGATTACCGCACTCGTTGCAATGGGATCTCATTAAACTTCGCTAGATTTGTGTTGCCATCGTATCAACTCAGTGAAACCCCAGTTACACCAGCTTTGAAAACGGTGGGTATGACTTCTTGTTTTATGCAGCAGAGAACTAACTAGTGGTTGCAAAAAAGCTCCTTAACGCAAGTTTCTCGATAAAATTTTTCAAATCCATCTTTCACTTGCGCAGATGTCCACTTTCAACAAATCACGTCGTGAAAGATATACCAATTAGACCGGGACAGAAATTATTCATTGAGCTAAGTTTGCTGAGTAGATACAGTTGACCGATTCCCCTTCAAGACATTCAAATCGATCGGCATAACTCCAACGCACCAAAGTTTTCTCTTTCTCACTTTTTCTGACTCAAAAAGTGAAGTTGAACTTAATAGTTTGGTACTGGTGCTGTAATAAATTCATGAAATGGCTAAATTTAAATTTCGATTACCCAATCTACAATTGAAGGATTAGTGTGAAAATAAATGAATGCAAAGAGAAGGTTTTGAAACCAAAAAGTAACCTTGCGTTTTCGACTGACTTCGTTCATTTAAACTTGATAACACATCCCTGCTTGTTTTTGAAACTTCACTTGAACTTCCCCTTAATACTAACATCTGATCCAAGGAGAAGGTGTTCTCATTAAACTGAAAAGTGTTGCAGTGCAGTAGAGGTAGCAATTGCAAAAAGTTTGACCAAGACCACTGTCTCTAACTGAGAAGCTTCCGCTTTTTGGAAGTGTCGCTAAATTGAAGAGAGATTCAACTGTATACACTGGCCATATTGTTTCCCTTTACAAAGCAAACAGGGCCCTATATATTGCACGTCAGCTTCTCAATTCAAAGCAAACGGTTCGGCGAAAATTCCACAGTAAAACCACACATCACTTTAATTTTTATTAAACAATATTTTCTTTATCGTATCTACTGGCGTGAGTTTTTAATGTCCATGGATTAACTTCAAAATGAGACACTAGCTCAGGCTTGTATTTTTGCATACGATTGTTTGTCTAGTTTCGATTTGTTTTCATTTAATTAAATTTCATCCCTTCAGATCTAAAATTCAGCTTCTGAGAACTTTCAGCTACTCCTTTTAATATTTTAACCACAGGTTTATGGTCCTCTTTATATTTTGTATTATTAAATTATAAGCCGATTTCCTGCCTTTAGCAAAACTGCTAAACAGATAAATTGTATAAATAATTGTGAAACAGGTGTCTTTTAACACGAGCCGCAATGAGAAGATATAGGTACATATAACACAGTTTTCATTAAGCAAGCTTGACGTTTCTAATATGGACGTTCGCCAATTTGTTTGCCGGAGTCAAAATCGTGGTCTGTTTGGTGAAATAAATAATTGGAACACGGGTTTCACAAGTGGATCGGGTTTGTGTACAGCTCATGAATCACCTTAGACCTTTTGCTGACTTCTTTGAGTTATACGGTCATATTTATTTTTACACATAAGTTATTACATGTATCGGTCCCATTATATATACCCACTAATTTTTATTTCCTCTGACAAATTTAAAGACTGCAGCAGCACTCACACTTGCCGATAAAAACCGAGTTAAATTAATATCGAAAATTAAACTGTCTTTAAATATTTTTTACCGTTTCCGGCCGAATAAACTGTTCAGTAAGCGAATAATAGCAGCTTCCTTAAATCTAATTCCGGGAAGTTAGGCTGTTTACGTTTGTGCGAATTAGCCACGGCGATAGGCGGATGTCAAATATCAGGAATATAGATGCGGTTCATTGAGACGGTAGAAAGTGTATAAGTTCACTCTGTTTATTCGCAATGTTCTAGAATGTTATACATAATATTGTATACATATGATCTGGCCTTCTCCCTTTCCTTTCCTTTCTCCCGGGATTTCCTTCTGCCACTGATTATGGTGTTACCAAGGCCAGCTATCATTCTAAGTGATTCCGAGACAGGAGGAGAAACGGTCAAATAATGCGTGGTGAACATATACAGAAAAGTAACAATCTGATAAATACTGCTTGAGAAACAAGTCACTTCGTATCTATGTCACGCAGTTTTTAATAATCCATTTATCATATTTTAACTCCATAGTTGGAACTGATTGACTCTGCACGAAATGAATTCCACAAAGAAACAACTGGCAGAAATGTTAACCGAGTTACAGTCCAGAAGCAGAGCTCAAGTCATCCTGGAATCGGTTTTTTTGATTTTGATTTTGTCGTTTTTGTTAGCCGGAAACTTCATGACTCTCCTAGTAATGCTGCTCAACCATCGGCGACGAACAATTACTAATATGTTAGTGGCATCACTCGCTGTTACAGACTTATGTTTGGGAGTTTTCGCGTCATCCCCATTAGGGCCTGTTGTCCTGGTGACCTCCAAGTGGCCTTTCAATGATTGGATCTGCCAATTTGAGGGATACACTTGTATCACGTTGGCAGCTGCCTCGATTCACACATTGGTCTTGATGGCGGTTAACAGATTTTTTATAATTGTCAAACCATCTAAATATCGCCGTTACTTCACCAAGAAGAAAACCATCATCATGATTCTTATGTCGTGGCTGTATTCAATGTGTGCTCCTCTACCATATTTCCTCAGCGGTAAAAAGATGGTTTTTCATCCATCCAAGTTCTTCTGTTATCTTAGAATCGATAGTGGTGCATTCGGTGCAGCCTTTCTGGTTGCAGTTTATGTAGGGATTCCATCTTGTATTATCTTTTATTGTTACCTTAGAATCTTCAAGACAATTCGTAGTCACAATGACAACTTACATCTCCCTGACAACGGAATTAACAGCGTGAACGTGGAAGAAATTAAAGTGGCACGCACACTATTTATGATAGTGGTGTGTTTTAACCTTTGCTGGGCTCCAGTTTTGTTAATTGACATCGTGGACACGATTCATGGGAGATATACTTTCCCTCGCGAGGCGTACGTAGCGTACACTTTTTTGGCCAATATCAGCAGTGCGTTGAATCCCTTGATATACGGTGTGCTTAACAAGAACTTCCGTAACGATTATATCAAGGTGTTAAGCTGCAGATGCTGCTGTGCTCAAGCTGCTGTAGAACCAAAGGGGCTGTTAGGAAGTGCAAATGTTTTGGAGATAAAGCCATTGCGCGTGCCTAACGTAGGGATGGAGACGAATTAATAATTTCTGTTGCAAGTAGATGAAATATGTAGTCCGGGTGAGTGGAGTCCTGAATAGGACTGTTGTTGACATTGACTAACCTTTCGATAAACCTGTGCGGTAGTCATCTTCAGAGTCAAATGAATTGTATCACGCCAGTCGATGGTATAAAACTCTGGTTATTGACCTGGTTGGTCAACTAAGTCGAGGTCATTGGTTGTCTGTCAGTTAAGCCGTGATGTTATTAGCTATGAAGACTCTGAATGGGATTGGTGCGTTTTTTTCAGCGGCGGCGTTTGTTCTAAGTTTGTAAACCAGGTTTCTAATTCTACAACGACTATAGACGACGCCGAATTGAAGTCCAAGGAGTACAAAGTGAATGAAGTAAAGGAGACGGAGAATAAATGGAAGCGGAAAAGAATGCATGGGCAGTATGTGAGAGAAAAGGAAGGTATTGACAGGGATAGAACTTGGTCAGTGGATTGCAAAAGGAGATTTGAAAGGATGTACTGAGGCCTTGATATGTAGCTCCCAGGAACAAGCTTAAAGAGCAAATTATACGAGATTTCATATTGATCACACAGCAGAAGAAGTAAGGGAGAAACGGTGGCCCATGTGATGAGTGAGTGCGGTTAGCTGGCGCAGATAGAATATAAAGGAAGGTATGATAACGTGGCACGGTATATCCACTGCCAACTTTGTGGTAAATGTGGATTGGAAAGAGCTAATAGCTGGTATGAACAGAAGCCGGAGGGAGTGGTGGAAAGTGAAAACTTCAAGATACTGTGGGATTTCACAGTCCAGTGTGAGCGGAAAATTGAGGCAAGAAAACCAGACATTGTCTTTATTGATAAGAAGGAGAAAGAGGTTGTCATAATTGATGTCGCCATCCGAGTTGATTACAGGGTGAAAGATAAGGAACTTGAGAAGTTAGAGAAATACCAACTATTGAAAGATGAAATTGCAAAAGTCTGGTGCATGCGAAAAGTCATTATAGCACCTGTTGTTATTGGAGCCCTTGGAACCGTACCAGTGAACTTTAAGGAGTACATAAAGCGAATCGACGTGAACGTGAGGTTGGAAGTTATCTAGAAAACAGCATTGCTGGGGACAGCAAAGATACTAAGGAAAGTACTGACCTGGGACCCGTGGTGACTTGTTGTAACCCGCTTCCAAGGACTATAAACCAGGCCGAACATCTTGCCTGAGTCTACAAGGAATGGACATCATAATAATAATAATAATAATAATAATAACAAAAACAAGTGCTCAGTGTATGAACAGAATGATTGACTTGAGTGACTGACGCTCTAGGTGCATGGTTTGCGCTTGGCTGATGCACAAAAAGAACACCAGCAAAGACTGTGATAAAAGAGATAATAATAATAATAATAATAATAATAATAATAATTATTATTATTATTATTTTTTATTTTTTTAATAAATAGACTATTTACAGATTCAAGAATATGAATATTAAAATATATACCCTATGTATATTCTTCTTGTGTACGAAAGAGAATTGTCGTAAAATGACTATCTAAAAACTACTAATAACAATAATAATAATAATAATAATAATAATAATAGTAATAGTAACAAGCAAACCTTTTACCAGACCAGTCAACGTCTTCTCATATGGTTTTTTTTGTGTTTTAAATTATTTACTTTTTGGAGGAAATTTTTTTGGTCAGAAACACAACTTCATCAGAATACCTCTTTGTAACGAATACTAGTCCCGCACCAATTAAAACTGGTTTATATACGCTCTTGCACATTGCACTAATGAGAGATGAACTCTTTATTGAGCTGGTTTTGTTTACATTATTATGTGCAATCTTTAATGGCTATTTGCCTTTCATTTATTTTTATCCATGTCTCCCACATACAAAAGTAATTTTGCTTGAGTCACTCCAAAATACTACGAAAAAGCAGAAAAGAGTAAAATCATTCAAGTTGCTCAGTTTCTTGCATCATTAACAAGTCCACGTTTGTGCATTGCATCTTGTTGAATGTCAAGCTCAAAATAAGGATAGGCTGACAATAACAATATAGTGACCCTGAACATTCTAACATTTGGAAGAGCGATATGGATCTCTAGAAGGCCTTGGCGTATCAATGGATGGACTGAAAATTCTGCTATTTGTAGACTCTCCTGAAAATTTCGTCTAAAACATATTGATTTTGTTGAACTTGTTACAAATATGAGCCGTAAACGCCTCCCATCTATTAAACGTCCCCTTTTGGACCCCTAAAATTAAGTAAATGCCCAGGGCGTCTATTAGATCATCAAACGGTGTTCATGATTTGCGCGCGTTTCGGTTTAAACTTTTCCTTAAGTCAAGTACATCGACCTGCTTGACTGACCTTATCTCGGGTGAGTTTCAGACAAAGGGGAGGAAAGGTCAAGAACTGCATCGATAATAACAGGACAGGCTAAAGTCTCATATATACTGAAATTGCGTAGCGCCCATATTACCAAGTATTCAATCCAATTATTATATTTTAACTCTACTGATAGCTGGATCTGATTGACTCTGCAAAGAAGCAACTGGCAGAAATGGTCACAGAGTTACAGTCCAGAAGCAACGCAAAAATTATCCTCGAATCAGTTAATTCGGGATTATTTCCTCGTTAATGTTAGTTGGGAATTTTATAACTCTCCTGGTTATGTTACAAAACCGTCAGAGAAGAACAATTCCTAATTTGTTAGTCAAATTACTCGCTGTTACCGCCTTATGTTTGGGAGGTTTCATGTCAGCTCCGTTAGGACCTGTTGGCCTGGCAACCTCCAAGTGGCCTTTTAATAATTCGATCTGCCAATTTCAGGGATACTTTGCTATTATGTTGGCCGCTGCATCGACACATACATTGGTCTTGATGGCGGTTAACAGGGATTTTAGAGTGGTTAAACCATCAAAGTACCGCCGCTAATTATTTTTTAAATGGGTACAAAATGGTTTTTCATCCATCCAAGTTCTTCTGCTATGGTTTATAATTGACAGTGATGCATTCGCCGCCTTTCTGGTTGCAGTTTTTGTGGGGATTCCATCTTGCATTATTTTTTATTGTTACTTTAGAATCTTCAAGACAATTCGCAGTCACAATAACAATTTGTCTCACCTTGTTAACGGACCTAACACTGTGAACATAAAAAAAATTAAGGTGGCACGCACACTATTTGTGATAGTGGTGTTTTTTAGCCTTTGTTGGACTCCAGTTTTGCTAATTGACATTGTAGACACTATTCTTGGGAGATGGACTTTCCCTCGCGAAGCATACGTAGCATACACGTTTTTGGCCAATATCAGCAGGGCATTGAATCCTTTTATATATGGTGTGCTTAACAAGAATTTTCGTACAGATGATCTGGGAGGAAATGCGAATGTTGTGGAACTAAATCCATTGCGAATGCCTAATGCAGAGATGGAGTTGTAGGAAACCTCGAGTCGCTTTTCTCTTTGCTGTTTTGTTATTTTTGTCTATATTTTTGTAGAATTAATGCTGTGTTCACACTAAACCGGATAACCGAAATTCATAACGGATAGGGCTTCTGTTCACACACAAGACGATTGTGGTGGTGCGATTTCTGTGCTGGTCGAAGCTGCGCCCCGCCGATCTCTGAATATAATGTGGACAGTCACATATCAGATGGGTGCTCACACCATACCGGATAGCTTTTTGTGGCGCCACGAACCCACTTATGTTCAGAAATGTATGTAATGGCGAAAATGGTGAATATGGCAAAAACTCACCAGATGGCTGGCGAAAATTTAAATGATGTTACAAGAGGCGCCCTTTAGAAAGAGACGAAGTTGACGAAAATGGCGGATCTGGCAAAAACTCAACAGATGGCTGGCGAAAATTTAAATGATGTTACAGGAGGCGCCCTTTACAAAGCGAAGAAGTTGACGAAAATGGCGGATCTGGCAAAAATTCGCCATGGGTTTGGCAAATTGGATGAAACAGTGGTCTCTTGGAGAGTGGCGATTATGACGAAAATGGCGAATATGGCAAAAATAGTGAAACCAGCCAGCAATGGCGAACATGGCGAATCTGGCGAAAAATCGCCAAAGGGCTGGTGAAAATTTTAATGAGATTACAAGAGGCGCTCCTTGCAAAGAAGAAAAGTTAACAAAGATGGGGAATCTTACAAAAATGGTAAATTTGGTCTAAATAGAAAATCTGGCAAAAATTTTCCATGGGTTTGGTAAATATTCAAATTGGATACCAAAAGTGATCCTTGGAGAGTGGCGATTTTGACGAAAATGGCAAATATAGCGAAAATTCGTCAAAGCCCTAACTTAAGTCAAATAAGATGGCAAAGGGGCCCCTTAGAAAGTAGCAAATTGGTCGCCGTATAGTGTGAACATAGCCTAACAATTGATGTTGTTGTCCGATTGACACGTGTCAATGTCTTCCATTTGGAAAAGTATACCTTGTATTAATTATGCAATAGTTTTGAGCGGCACATCGTGGAGTGCTTTCATTTTACTTTGTTGAGCAAAAATACAAGAAAAAAACTCGAGTCGCCTGTTGCCTCGTACCTAGGCGCTTCTTGGGATTTTCGACGGTAGTCTCGACGGAAAGATGATGGAAAAGCTTCAAAAACGCAAAGGCACAAGGGGAAACAAAGTCAAGCGTTTGAGGAAAGACGAATGCCGCAAGTGGTTGGGTACTATCATCAGACTGACCGGCATTTCGGGGAACGCATTATCTTACTCGTTGGAATGCGATCGTGAAGTCCTGAATGAGATGGCGTTAGCCGACGTCTTATGTTTCTTTGGATGATGATATTCCACCTTTGGATGTCACAACACTACTAGCTTTCCTGTCGACCGACTTGTGTTCCGACTATCCATCCTCATGAAGTCTGCACGAAGCTCTTAGAAATTCAGCCTTTTAAAGCCTAAGGACCTGAAAATCTGTCATGCCATATCCCGAAAGAATTCTCCTATGAATTAGCAGAACCTCTCAGCACAATTTTTAATACATCCCTTGCTTCTGGAATTCTTCCTGCTATTTGGAAAGAATCGAAACTCAGTGATAGAGGGGAGAGTCGAGAGACTTACAAAGATTTGGATTTATCAACGTAGCCGTAATAAGGTGGATTGGCCACCGTCAGGGGACTGAGAAGTAGACGTTTCGCGCATTAGCCCTTCGTTGTCAGACCAAATCAGAGGATTGTGGTGGGTGCATTTTGTGTGGTGTTAGATGTTTCTAAAAGGTATTCACTATGCGTATCAAAGCGAGACTCCATGTCTCGCGCCGCTATTAAAAAAGTAATAGCAAATTTACCGAACTTAATTAGAATCGTTTCAAATTTCGTCATATCAGGCTTAAGCCTGCAAATAATTTAGGCCTTGGCCAAACTTCGAGCTTTTCCTGAGACGAATCAAACTTAGTGAGTTAAGTTTATGAAAAGGTTGACGTCTGCCTCAGTTAAGTTCGTCTGAGTGAGTTTGGATCAAGCAGACGAATAGAACGTCTGAAGCCCGAGTCTGGGACAAACGTCTATCTTCACCGGCAACGAACTCGACTAATAGATTAAAAATTTACGTGATAATTATGTTTTGCTTTTTTCAGGAGAAAATTTATCACTGGCCTGCTAAAAACGAAATATTGGGCAAATATAATTCACCACTTTATTTTTGTTTTCTTTCTTTATTTTTTCTATCACTCTTCCTGTCGTAAGGACCAGTTTACTGTAAGTTTTAAGTTTAAAATTTGGTACTCAAGATTTTACTGATCCAGGTCTACTAAAGATACGGCTGACCCTCACTGGTTTGTCGTTGTGGCTTCGCCTTCACAAGTGTTTCTGAAGGAAGAAACAAGCCTAGCTACTTCAATTTACGTGAAAGAAGATCATCGCAGTTATAGACGTAACTTTTGCAGTTGCGAAAAGAAAGCCTGGAAAAATTCAGGCTTATTCTGGATTAGAACCCTTGACCTCTGCCATAGCCAACTAGGAGCAGGTCGTTGAATTGGTTCGTTATAAACCCGTGAAAAGATGATCAAGTTATGAATAATGAAAATCACGTATGAGAACTGCGGGGTGAAGAATTATATGAAAGAAGATCATCGCAGTTATAGATGCAACTTTTGCAGTTGCGAAAAGAAAGCCTGAAAAACCTCAGGCTTGTACGGGATTCGAAAATATACTTAACTTCCCCTTAATGTTAACATCCAAGGACGTGGTGTCCTCATTAAAAAGGTGTTGCAGTACAGTAGAGGAGCAGTTGGAAGAAGTTTGACCAAGACCACTGTCTTTAACTGAGAAGCTTCCGTTTTTTGGAAGCGTCGTTAAATTGAAGAGAGATTCCGCTGTATACACAGGCGATATTATTTCCCTTTACGAAGCAAGCAGGGCGCTATATATTGCACGAGCTTCTCAATTCAAACTTCTCAATTCTAACAGTATGAACATAAAGAAATTAAGGTGGCACGCACACTATTTGTGATAGTGGTGTTTTTTAGTCTTTGTTGGACTCCAGTTTTGTTAATTGACATCGTGGACACGATTCTTGGGAGATGGACTTTCCCTCGCGAGGCGTACGTAGCGTACACTTTTTTGGCCAATATCAGCAGTGCGTTGAATCCCTTGATATACGGTGTGCTTAACAAGAACTTCCGTAATGATTATATTAAGGTGTTAAGCTGCAGATACTGCTGTTCTCAAGCTGCTGTAGAACCAAACGCGGGGCTGTCAGGAAGTGCAAATGTTTTGGAGATAAAGCCATTGCGCGTGCCTAATGTAGAAAGAAAACCTGGTTTACTAACTAAAAACAAACGCTGCTTTGCCGCCTACATTCGTGTTTCAAGTTTAGGTCAGGTGCCTCTGAGGACGAGAGTGACTCTATTTGCACCTTGGCTTCTTTCATTTTTTCATGTTAACTTTTTTACGCACTCGTAATGGGAGAGTTGCAAACCATTGCAACATTCAAGCCTTATCAAAAGAAAAGTGTCCTTAATATCCTTAATAAGCAATTTCCGAGTTTCCGCTGGCCTCTGCATCGAAACGAGGTGAAGTGCTAAGCCTTTGATACGGAAATGATTTTTCATTCTTATGCAAATAAAACTCATTTCCACAAGAAGGTTGTACACTTTTCCTCATTTTGAAAGTGAGGGTTTTTGGAACTCGGAGGTGGCCTATTATCACACATTAAGTTTGATACAGAAGTAGTGTCAGACTTGAAAAAGCTAGTTTTGTAAATAGAGCTGAGGTAGTTATCCACGAAGCCCATCGATGTAAGGTAAACTTCTGAAGATTTAGAAAGGCCCTGTCCGCACGAATCCAGGAAAATATCCGGTTTTAATCGTCTCCACGAATTCGCAACTCCGTCAGATCCAAGGACATCTACTTTGGAGAGCGGTTTCAAAAGGATGGGTTTTCCATGAGCGGATTCAGTGGTCTTGTGTCGTGTGTGGACGGAAGGCCCCAAAATATCCCGATTCGTGCAAAGGGGGGCAGACACTGTCTGGCGTGAGCTCTCTAGCACGAACTGGTCGAAATAATATTATTTACTTTTTAGAAGGCATTTCTGATTTTATTTTATTACCTTCGCCACCATAATATAAACACATCGGTATTCAAACACAGTAACAAACAAAAAGTGGCAGGGATTCCGCAACAGCGTGAGCCGGTTACTAGGGGCCCAGAAAATTAAAAAAATATAAGAATAGTTAAAAGTCATAATCACAAAATTAAAAGCAACACGAGACAGGCTGGGCAAGACTACGACACTTGTTACATTTAAGACAGACAGACTTAAAAGTGCGGGGATTTTCACGGTCGTAATTACTTAAGGCGGTTTTGTAATACTCTACCATTGCCTGTTTAAGAACATAGAGGGCGTTATGACAGGATCAGTTCATCAGCAACAACGTTCCAGACGCGTACGCATCTGGTGATATAAGACTTTTGATAAATTGCTACCTGAAATTTAGGCTCTACAAATTTAATAACACCACTAGATGAAGATCTGGTAGGCCTCGTGATGCGAGCGTTAGGAACAATTGATCGATCTACCGATACGAGACCATGAATGATTTTGAAATAAAGAACACCATATCTAGATACTCGTGCCCGAATGTTAATGGCAGCAGATCGAAAGATTTAAGTTTGTTCATGTAAGAAATTGTGCAGGAAAAAGGCAATTTGAGAACATATTTAGTGGCACGCCTTTGTGTCCTTTTAATTGTAATTAGTTTGATAGACTGAGGAGCCCATATTTGGGTTGCATAGCCGAAAAGAGGTCTAACTAAATTGAGATAGACCGATCGCCTAACGTCAGTGCTTTTACTAATGTTCTTCCTTTTTCCTTTCACCCTGACTGTTTTACAGGAAGAGATAATTTTAGCCGGCTCAATGTACGAAAGCAACCGTTTTGCCTTTTATGTATAAGACTGGAAAAAATGATGATACTGTTAATAAAATAATAATAATAAAATAATAATAATAATAATAATAATAATAATAATAATAATAATAATAATAATAATAATAATGATGATGATATTAACAAGCAAACCTTTTACCAGACCAGTCAACGTCATCTTCTCACAAGTTTTTTGTGCGTTATATTATTTTCTTTTAGAGGATATTTTTCCCGACAGAAACACAACTTCTTCAGAATACCTCTTTCTAACGAATACTAGCCCCGCACCTGTTAAAACACTGGTTTCTTTTCCCCTTCTATAATAGCATGTTTTACTTAAGCTTACTTAAATAAACGCTCTTGCAAATTGCAGTAATAAGAGATGAACTATTTATTGAGCGGGTATGTTTAAATTATTATGTGAAATCTCTAATGGCTATTTGCCTTCCATTTATTTTTATCCATGTCTCCCACATACAAATTAAAGTAATTTTTCTTCAGTTACTCCAAAATACTACGAAAAAACAAAAAGGCTTAAAATCATTCAAGTTCTGCTCAGTTTCTTGCTTGATTAACAAGGCTACGTTTGTGCATACGTTTTATTTGTGTGTACGTTTGTCCAGCTTAAAACAGTAAGGATGGGCTGACAATAATATCATAGTGACCCTGAACATTCTATAACATTCGGAAAAGCGATACGGATCTCTTGAAGGCCTTGGCGTATCAATGGATGGACTCTATATTCTGCTATTTATAAACTCTCCGGGTATTTTCGTCGAAAACATTTTTAAAATTTTGTTGATCTTGTTACAGATATGAGAATAAACGCCTCCCATCTATTAAAAGCCCCCACTTAGGCACCTAAATTAAATAAACACTCCGGGCGTCTATTAGATACTTAACGTTATTCATGGTTTGTGTGCGTTGCTGCTTTAACATTTTCCTTACGTCAAGTACGTCGACCTGCTTGGATCTGCCACCGAATATGGTGTTACCTTGGTCAGTGTATGTATTGACTAACATTGTCTAGGTGATTTCAAGAGAAGGGAGAGAGATGATCAAAACCTGCATCCCGAATAACAGAACAAGTCAAAGGAGCTGTTTCACGAAATTTCTCAATATTTACTGTAAACAGGTGGGAACCGCCACCAGATTGAGCGTAACAGAAAAATCACAAATCACAAATCACAACGAATTCAAAAAAGGTACGGATTTGCAAACTTGAAGAAGATTAAAACGGTTTGCAATAGCGGTTTTTGAAAACTTGTAATTGTTAGCCTAACAGTTTTTCAATGGTCGTTTTTGTGGTTTGTAACGTTTGATCAATGCCTGGGACGCATATTTTTTTGACACGAAGCTGAGGTTTTTGTCATTGGCAAGTAACGTTAAGTTCCCATAGCGAGCAACGACGCGTAATTGGGAATGTTAACAAAACTGAGGTTGACAGCCGTGACACAGTCCCTTTCAGATTAGGAAGCTTAAGCAACAACGACGGCGACGGCAACAAGAACGGCAAAAAAAAACAACAACAGGTGTAGATTAGCAAAACAACAACTCGTGCATCACGCTTTCTTTGTACATTTCTTTGCCGTCGTTGCACGACTACAACGTGAAAGTGCCTAAATTAACGGGAACTCAAACGTGAACAACTGTCTTTTTTCTTTTCCTGAACTTTGATACAGTCCTTTAGAATTCAACTCCAAAAACATTTGCCAACATTTGACGAAGTAAACGAGATGGAAGAAGCGCGATAAAGTTTGTAGCAGCACAAATTCACTTTTTAAGTGACGTTTTCGTAGTCGTCGCCTTCGTTGTTGCTTAAGCGCCCTAATGTCTCATAGATACTGAAATCACTTCGCGTCCATGTTATTTTATCTAATTTTTATATTTAACTCCATAGCTGGATACGATTGACTCTGTGCGTAATGAATTCAACTAAGAAGCAACTGGCAGAAATGTTGGTAGAGCTACAGTCCAGAAGCAACGCCAAAATTATCCTAGAATCAGTTTCATTCGGGATTATTTCCTCATTAATGTTAGTTGGGAATTTTATAACTCTCCTGGTTATGTTACTAAACAGTCAAAGAAAAACAATTTCTAATTTGTTAGTCGCATCACTCGCTGTTACCGACTTATGTTTGGGAGTTTTCGTGTCAGCTCCGTTAGGACCTGCTGTCCTGGTGACCTCTAAGTGGCCTTTTAATGAATCGACCTGCCAATTTCAGGGTTACTCTGCTATTATGTTGACTGCTGCATCGATACATACATTGGTCTTAATGGCGGTAAACAGGTATTTTAGACTTGTTAGACCATTAAAGTACCGCCGCTACTTCACTCAAAGAAAAACCCAGTTCATTATTGTTATATCGTGGCTTTCTTCAATGTGTGCTCCATTGCCATATTTCTTAAATGGGTACAAAATGGTTTTTCATCCATCCAAGTTCTTCTGCTGTTTTATAATTGACAGTGGTGCATTCGCCGCCCTTTTGGTCGCATTTTATGTGGGGATTCCATGTTGCATCATTTTTTACTGTTACTTTAGAATCTTCAAGACAATTCGTACTCACAATAACAACTTGTATCACCCTGGTAATGGAATTAACACTGTAAACATAAAAGAAATTAAGGTGGCACGCACACTATTTGTGATAGTGGTGTTTTTTAGTCTTTGCTGGGCTCCAGTTTTGCTAATTGACATTGTAGACACTATTCTTGGGAGATGGACTTTCCCTCGCGAGGCGTACGTAGCATACACGTTTTTGGCCAATATCAGCAGTGCATTGAATCCTTTTATATATGGCGTGCTTAACAAGAATTTTCGTAAGGATTATCTTAAAATGGTATGCTGCAGGTTAAGTCATGTTCAAGCTACTGTACAACCAGTGGTGCTGGGAGGAAATGCCAATGTTGTGGAACTAAATCCATTGCGTGTGCACAATACAGAGAGGAGGTTACAGAATTAAGGCCTGTGCTCACACTAAACCGTATAGCTTTTGCGCCGCCACGAGGGATAGTAGAGCGAGCGAAGCGCGAGCGCGCGTGAAAATCACCCCACGCGAGAAAAGGCGAGACGCTTCGGGGAGAGAGAAAAAATGAGGTTACTCTCTCCAAAAAGGTATCCGGTATCAGAGTGAACGTAGCCTAAGAATTGATGTTGTGGTCTGATTGACAGGTGTCAATGTCTACCAAGTTGGAAAAATACATCTTGTATTAATTAATTATGCAATAGTTTTGAGTAGTGCGTCGTGGAGTGGTTTCATTTTACTATTGTGATTGCTACATAAGTTCAGTAACATCTGTAAACCTGAAAAGGGCTGGTATTAAATGGCCAGCCGAAATATTGTTATAAAAAACAATACACGTTGTTTTAAATCAGCTTTGCAGTAGTCTTTGGACTTCTCGTTCTTGGTTCTTCAGTTATATTTTGGCTGATTAGATCTCTTTTCTAGAGATCCAACGTTTACAACTAGCAGGATGTTCGTCCACGGTTTTTGCAGTTAATCTAATCCTTCATTTTACTTAGTACGCAGAAAGTCTTTAGTTGAGTGCAAATACAAGAATAAAAACTCGGGTCACCTGCTGCCTTGTACCTTTCTTGGGATCTACGACGGTAGTCGCTTTCAAGGATCATGGGAAAGCTTCAAAAACGAAAGGGCACAAGGAAAGACTTAGCGTGATGCCTGGTTGGGAGGGGGGGGGGGGGGGCACCCATCGTTGTTTTTTTTTTTTGTAAAGAGAGGGGGACGCGAGGGTGGTGGGGGTGGGTGGGGGTGGGGGTGTTGTCGTCCCCCGGGGGGAAAACTAAAAAAAAGAGGGGGGAAAAGAAAGAGCTGGGGGGGGGGGGGGGGGGGGGGGGGGGGGGGGGGGGTACTCCCATACATTACCTATACGGGTATGTGCCGCCCGACGGGGTCTTGATTTTGAAGCTCCTGGTTTAGAACGGAGTATCCATTTCAGAGGCGTTTTCTAGAACGGGGTGTAATATTTCGAACGCAAGAAAGCTCCAGTTTTGTAAGCAGCCATTTTAAATTATTCAAGGACAGATTCCTTTTAATAATACGGTTCAATGCGTTAACAAGCAAACTGTTATACTCTTGTTGCACCCTAGAACGGAGTATAAAAAATTGGCCCATTTCTAGAACGGGGAATCAATTTTAAGGGAAATTTTTTTTAGAACGGGGTGCCAATTTGGATTCCCGGGCGGCACATACCCACCCAAAAAATATCCAAGTGCACCCCCCCCCCCGGAGTGTGATGTTACACGGGACGATTCGCAACGACGATTTTTAGCGCAACTCAGCGTTGCAATGCTGGAACAATGTTGTAATCATTCGAAACAATGTCGCAACAATGTTGGAACGCTGTGTTGCGCTAAAAATCGTCGTTGCGAAACGTCTCGTGTAACATCGCCCTCTTGCGCGGGGACTACCGCAGAAAATCTCAAAAAGCTCTTGGGTACGAGGCAGGGTCCGCTGTGGGATGTTTCACAGTATACTATTGCTGGTTTGTAGCTGATATCACTGCGGCCATGTTGCTTGACAAGAACAAAAGATTTGCCCCTCCGCTGGGAACTAAACTCTTGTTTCGTCGACCATCATGGACGTCTTGTCACGTGGTTCAGGCGCGGAACTGAATAAACATGTACTGACCGTTTCCCTAAATGAGCTTGGAATGTGTAAGTTTCTAGGGGGAACGGGGGCATGTACCCTTCGTGAAATCTTTTTTCTTTTTTTTCGCCATCAAGTCACCATTCCTGGGTTTCTGAGTCATTCAATCAGGATATTGGCCATACTTTAACTTGGAACGTTTTTTCATAAAAAAATTATTTATCCATGAAAAGTCTGGCCGATTTTCGTAGAACCGTGGAAACCGGAGTGGATCCGAGCCTGTGATTGCCAACCAAGAAAAGGGAAGAATATGTATTGTTATTTTATCTATAAGGGCCTATTTACACGGAGGTGGGGGACCCCAGGAAGGTGAGTAACCCGCTTAGGTGAGATAACCCACCTGTCCATATAATCTCTCATTTTATTTTCATCACGTTTACATGATAGGTGGGGTGACCCGCCACATGTTACCTTACCTACCTGGAGTCCTCCACCTTAATGTAAACAAGCCCTAAACCATAACTTTACGCCTTTGGTGCCAACGAAATTTGAATTTCATGCAATTTCGACATCGATATTTAAAGTACGAGTTTGTAGGCTTGTACATTTAAACGGCAAAATCAGTGCTCTTGCGAAATAAAAACTTTGACGTGACATACCTCGACAAGCGACATCGTACCGAATGTCCATCAAAATCCGCGACGTGCTTGCAAAACAAAAACCATTCATTCCGGTAGTCATGTCAGTGTAGCGCGACTTCTAAACTGCACGTCTTCTAACTCGTAAGGTTGGCTCGCGCGGCGGCCACAGGCAAAGTTTTAACTTTTACAGATATAGTTCTTTGATTATTGCAATTGACATACATCTTCTTGCTAAGATCTAATTGCACCTAAATGTTATAATGAAATCATCATAAGGTAAAATTTTAAAAGAAATAGTATTTTGAATTATTTTATGCAAATTTGAGACTTTTTAATTTAATGTTAAAAGCGACAGTTTCGGGCTTGCTTTTCTCACGTTTGCCAGCAGAGTGAATCAGTCCAGTATTCAATACTACCAATGACTCAAAAGTATTAATTACTGCTAATACAAGTCAAAACACACAAAGCAAAAACGGGGTAAAGAGGAACTGATGGAAATGGCGAAGAAATTAATCTGGCTGAACCAATTCAAGAATTATCGTAAGTAATAATGTTCAAAACTCAGCACGTTTTCCGTAACATGATAATTGATAAGTCATGCCTCACTAACTCAAACACCTTACGTTTTTTAAATATCCGAGTAAAATATCCTACTAGCATTTTTTTAAAAGCCTCAAGAGTGATCAACGTAAAATTCCTCCTTGTCATTTACACGACAACGCTTTAATATAAAACAAAGTGGTCACAGGAAAATGACAAGTTCACTGGCTCCCTGTTCAAACAAATAAAATCAATGTGACTACACTGTATATCACCTCCTCACTACTTCTGAGATCAAAACTCGGCGTGACTGACCTTTCCGACAGTACGTAGTGTGTCACAGTCAATCAGATGCCTTTCCACTCATTCAGGAGGTACCGCAAGGGTCATTTTTTGGCCCACTTCAATGTCAACAATGCCCACTTCAATGTCAACACCAGCAGACTAAAACGAGTAGGACGACACCTGCCAAGCGTGCACTGTCAGACCGATGATACGCCATTGCACTTGGCGTTCATTCCAGACGTACCGGGCGATGATGCTAATGCGGTAATGGAGTGAGGACACAGTGCGAGCCATGCGAACAACTACTAAAACTCAAAAAAGCAATAATGCGGAAAAAAATTGAAAGATGACCGTTGTAAGTTAGTGTTTAACTATATTTTTCCCATGGCTCGCATGGCTCGCTTGCTCGATGATTGTCCGGACCCGGGTAAAAGGTGACCCCTTTTGCATCATGGACTTTAATGGAATAATTAGAGACCGACTCATGACTGTACTGGATAAGCCTGACTGAGTTTCTGCTCCCTAGTTAGTACCCGGCAACAGTTAGCTAAGGTTTGCATTGGTAGTATTATTGTAAGGCAGTCTGTGGTTAACGCTTAGCATAAATGTAATATGGCTGCAGAGCGGGCCACATTATACAAGCTTTCCTGCTGCAGTGTTTAAAACATGCTGAACCTTGTTAAGCTGCGAGGCAAGTGAACCGTACAATAAATAAAACAGCGTATGATCTACTTTGAGATTTTGCGGCTATTTACATTTAAAGCTATTCATGTTATTGCTCCTGGTACATATTTTTTTATATTCAGGACCTAGTTTAATTCTCTAAAATCGCAAGGCGCATATAAACTCCACTGCCGGATCCAGACCTTGCGATATTAAAGGGGGTGAGGGGGTGGTCATTCAGACCCTTAGATAACGGGGGGCGGCGGTCTCCAATAAAATTTTTTCGGCCTTCGGGCCTCAGTTAAAATAAGGGATCCGCCATGCACTGACCTCAGATCTTCTGGTGGTACTTTACTAGAGGACGCCAAAAATTACAACAAAGGTAATTAAATTTTCATTTTTCAATCGCGATAACAGACTGAAATAGTATTCCATCGAACCTTATGAATGCACCTTCATTTAGCAGTTTTAAGTCCAATCTGTTAGATCATTTGTGTCAATTTTAAATCAGTTGTAACTCGTGAGTGACAAGTATGCAATTTAATCCGGTTAGTTTTGGGCCGTATTTAAATTTTACTTCTTAATTTTTCGTGTCAATTTTAGTATGCAATTTAATTAGGTAAGTTTTGGGCCGCATTTTAATTTTACTTCTTAAGTTTTATTATGTTTAATATTCGGGAATATTCTTTGTATAGGAATTTAGTTTCCCCCAATTATTCTCCAGTCATGCACTTTTTGTATTTTCTATAATTTATTTGCTTGTATTTGCATGACAAAGTATTATTAAAGTTAAACTTAAACTTAAACAAAAGTTACACAAGGCGATAGTCCCTTCCCGGAGGCCTGGCTGCACCCATGTTATGGAGTGCTCTGCTTCGTGAGCTGTGCGCGACATTCGTTTCTTACGACGCACTTTTTTAAGACTGCTTATAGTAAACTAACTTTTTACCTTTTTACCTTTTACCTTTTTTGGCCTTTCCTTTGAAGTCATATGGATCTCCCCAGTTTGATTTAAATTATAAATTAATTAACTAGAGCTACGCTTTTAGCCCTGACTAAATCTATATATTAAATATGACGTTTTAATTTTCGAGTTTACATAGCGAAAAGTGTTTTGCAGAGCAATCAATTCAACAACCGTGAATTTTTTTTCCAAATTTTACTATA